AACCCAACTCCAAGTCATTTACCCAAAGTTAAATGAAGGTTTAACAACTTTATTTATATTGGAATTTACAAAACTGTCCTTCAGATGGTGATTGAATAAACAAACAATTGTGGTGTCCAAAATGAAATCAAACACAGAAATGCAAAATATCTCATTACCTAAATATGTAACAATATGGATAAGCATCAAATGTGTTAAGCCAAGTCAAAGAAACTAGTCTCAAAGTTTACACACTGTAAGATTTTATTTCGTGATATTTTTATGAAGGAAATCCTATGTGGACACAATATAGCTTAATGGTTGCTAGAAAAAGTGATTGAGAAAGAAGTCCACCACAAAAAGATCAAGGAAATAATTTAAGATGATGAAAGTGTACTACATTGTGATTATGAAAGTGGTTATATGACCATAGACATTTGACTGACATCTTATATTTCATAATTTGGATATTCTCATATGTAAGTTGCAATTTGATTATAAAGTGAAAAAAAATTAAACACAAGAAATGCACAAAGATGTGTGCACACTCATCATATTCATTAATTCCCTGGGGAAGCATAATTGCTTCTTCCCTGGGTGAGTGAAATGTAAAATTGCAGATATCCTCAAAGGGGATAGCCCTGAGAGCTGCATGTTCTTATAACTCCATTTTGGTTCTCATGTATTATCCTCTGAAATATAAACATGACTCCACATGATATCATTTTTGTAGGACCAGACAATATACACAGATCCTCAGGTGACCATTTATTCAAATCAATGCTGATAGTTGTTAGTACACATGCCAACTTTGCCCCAAACTGATTATTAGCATCAGTGTTGGACCACAGCAGGAAAAACAGCAAGAAAAAAATTATGCTGACTAACTTGAAAATATAACTCCTTCATGAGTTGCTTTATAGACCTTCCTCTTTTGTTCTTCATGGCCACAATTCCACGACATATGTGGATGGCATGTTTGGGTTATGTTTATGTAGCACATAAAGAGGGAGATAAATGGCATCCCCCAGGGCAGAGGGAAGGCATGGTACATACAGGGCTTCAATCTAGATTCCCGACTGGATGTTATTGTTCTTCTCTCCATCTTTTCCAGCCTTAGAGACTTTGGAGCCTTTTGACCTGCCTTTGAGAAAGAGCTTTAATAACATTATTCCATGACTGCATTTCTGATTTTAAACTCACAATTTACAGTTGCCTTTCCCTTTTTATCCATGACTAAGGTAAGCGTTTTGTTTCATGCATAATTTTAGTAATGTAATCCATGTGAAATAATATCTATTATAAGTTATTTGAGCCCAGAATTAAGTGTTATAAACATTTTTCTAAAACTATGAGGTAAGGCAGCAATAGAAATGCTAAAATTTTCACCAGTATGTGCTTTAAAGTTCAGAAACATCATATTGCTTTGAGAGAAAAAGATAAAAGAGCACTATATCATATTCTAATTGAGTAGGTCAGAATTTCATCCTGTGCATTATTTGTTAGTCTCTAATTGAAGATAAAAGTTAAAAAGAACGAATTGAAGGATAAGCTTTTAGCTATTGAGTGGTCTTACTTGATCTCCTCTGAGTGGTCTTTTCAGTAGTCATACTGTATTTTGCAGCCCTGATGTCAGGGTGGGTTAGGTCAACATTTCCAACCCACTAGCTACTTGGGAGAAATATTTACATTCATGGGAACACATAGAAACAGTTGTTCTCTAGGTCTCTATGAGTTGACAGCAGTGTGTGAGTGAATAAGTCTCTATTTTAAGGATCCCTATTGGTGTTTGAGATAAGTGTTAGACTTTCAACATGAGTAGGATCTCTGGTGATGTAGTGATTATACACTGGGCTGTGATCTCCATGTTCAGCAGTTCAAAACCATCAGCAGCTCTGTAGGAGAAAGACTGGGTTTTCTACTCCCATAAACAGTTTAGAGTCTCAGAAACCCACAGGGAGTCACTATGAGGCAGCATTGACTTGATGGCAGTAAGGAGGCAGTTCACCTCCATCATCTACTTTGTGAGAAAAAATTGAGGCTATCTATCCTCTTAAACATTTACATCAAAGAAAAACTCTGAGTCAGAACTGTTTCAACGACACCTAACAACCAAAAGCTCTATAGAGGGTCACTATGTGTCAGAATGGACCTATGACATGGGCTTGGTTTTTGAATTATAGTCTCTATTAACCTTTCCACATAATGGCAAGCTTCCTGCTGCTAGTGGATCTCCAAACACTGACAGTGCTGAAAGTACAGGAATTTTCATTTGTCAGACCTTCGTTTAAACCTTGTATCTTGAATCTTCTTCATACTATATATGTAATTATAGAGTATCACATAACTTTATGAATCTTTACTAGTAAACAGAATATGATAACATTATGTAACTTTTAAGAGTATTTTAAGATTTCATTGAAAAGACGAGGCTATAACCACTAATATTATTGCCTGATGAGCATAACAAAAGCTCAAAGTGCTCTATCAAAGTTGGGAAAATCTAAGACCTTAATACTCCAGCCTTATGAAATGAAGTTTGAGGAGAATTATTGATGAGTAGTGGTTAGTAGAGAATCAATGTCCTGCCAAAGATTTCACATTCAAATAGAGGTTGTAAAGTGTTGTGTTTGAACACTAGCTGATTCAAAATCGAAAAATATAAAACAGAACTTTTACTAGTACAGGTCTTATGAAAAAGTCCCCTTAATCTATGAATTTACAACTTTGATCTCTGCGAAGCAGCTATGGGATAACAAGAAGGAGAGACAGAAATTAGATTAAATATATTTATTCTTTCCACCCAAGTTGAAATATGCACTTCAAAGAATAAAAGAAGCAAAGGAACGCCTCATATGAAATGGGCTGGGATAGATATGGGATGGTGATGCTGAGAAAGGGACCAAGAATATTTCGATGAAACAAGTCTGTAATGAAAAGCTGGAGTGAGGATAACAGATGTAAATACTCATATTCAGCCATATTTTAAATCAGTACCTACTTTCTTCAAAACCAAAAGAGGGGCCACTTTTTTTTATTAATATTATACCTAATGTTATACCTAACACTAATTTATCCTAATTTCAGACCTAACACTAATCAGTTATTCTTCACCCAATTTCACTCATTTTAATGTATTATCTCATTTAATTTCCATACCAATACCTTGAAATGGGTCTTATGACCACCTCTATTTTGGGGATGATGAAAACAAGGCTTAGATGAACTAGGTTTGGATCAATGAGTCCTATGTAATGAATAATAGGGCTGAAATTTGGAACCATGTGTTCCTTATGTATATGAGGGGAATCCCAAAAAAACACCCAAAAACAAACCCGGAATTGTACTGGGCTCAGTGGAACATACGCAGTATGCATTTTTTACCCCACTAGGTGAGCATCAAGTAACTCATTCTGTTAGTGCACCCAGTGGCGTTACCTTGGAAGGTAACTCTGGTCACTGAATTCTTTTGTAAAAGCATTTTCTATGAAACCTCATTTTTGTTTTTATTTTGTTTTTTTGTGATGGCCAATTTAAAAGAACAGCTGTGGCTGTGAAACTTTGTCTCCTGTTAGGGGGAAAAGGTTGCAGAAACTTGTGATTTTGAACACAGCTTACAAGAACAGTGTTAGGGGGAAAACTCAAGTGTACAAGTAGTATTCTCATTTCAAAAACGATGAAAAGTCGATTGAAGACAAACTTCGTTCTGGACAACTGTCAACTTCCCAAACAGACACAAATGTTAACTTGTAGTGCATTTGGAGTTCATTCTACCAGGTCAGACTGTTAATCAAGCTTTCTATTTAGAGGTTCTGAAAAGATAGCTAACCGTGTGTGACAAAAAAGACCTGATTTGTTCCAGACAGGGGACTGATTTTGTCACAACAACAATGCACCTGCTCATGCAGCCATCTTAGTGCACCAGTTTTGGGCAAAAACCAGCATGCCTCTTTTGCCCCTCACACTATACTCACCAGACCTCGCTCTGTGCAACTTCTTTTTGTTTCCACAAATGAAGGGGGACATGAAAGGACAGTGATTTGATGACACAGAAGAGGTGAAGGAGAAAAAATGAGGGAGGTGTTGTCAGGCATCCATACAGATGAGTTTGAACAATGTTGTCAAGAATAGAATCACAGATTCAGCCAATGTATTAAGTGTTATGGAGAGCACTTTGAAGGTGATAAGGTTGTTTTGCAAAGAAATTGAAATATGTAGCTTTGAAAAAGAACTACCATTTTTGTTTTTGTTTTGAGGGGGGGTATGATTCATTTACCTTTGTTAGTTGTGCATTCCCTTACTGCTGAAGTTATACCATCACATTTACTATACATATAATTTCTCAATTACTTTGATGTTTATCTCCAAATACTGAGTTTAGAACTGTGGAGATAATGAGTAATTTTAAATTGAGCTAGATTCTACTTTATTTTAATTCCATTAAGATCATTGGACTTGGGTGGATTTGCCTGAATTTGCCTGAATTATAAGCATGGCTTTGCCAGTGAATACTTCTGCAAACCTGAATAAATTCCTCTGTCTCTTGTACATCATAAGACAAACAGAGATATGAAATAATCAACCTCATATTGTTTCTGTGAAAAACAAATATACAGATAAAATCTCCATAGCAGCAGCTGACTCATGAGCAATACATAGTGATAGTTTTCATTACACACAGGAAAAATGATTTGATAATTCATGATAATTGTGGTCTGTCATGTTGACCTAGAAATCCCCGTTCAAAATTATTTATAAAACTTAAAAATTGTAGAGATGTTCCAAGAAGTTCCATCATTCAATTTCAGTAGTTAGTAATAGTACAGATAATTTGTTCACTCAGTTTTATTTTCAAGGCCATGTTTTATGCATGGAGAGTCTTGAAGTACAATTAAGTTATTGCTACAATGAAGCCATGCATGCAATATTTATATAATTCCATTTCGCCTGAAGATCTATTCTCTTTAACAATCTGTTCTTTTATTCTTCATTGACACAGGGCATCTCTTGATTCCCAAATAATATCTATGGATAACAGCACTGAAGTCACGCAGTTCATCCTTCTAGGACTAACCAATGTCCCTGAGCTGCAGATCCCCTTCTTTATAATATTCACTTTAGTTTACCTAATCAATATGTTTGGGAACCTGGGAATGATTGTGCTGATTGTATTGGATTCTCATCTCCACACGCCCATGTACTTCTTCCTCAGTAACTTGTCTCTAGGGGACCTTTGTTACTCCTCAGCTGTCACTCCCACATTGTTGGCTGGGCTTCTTATAGGAGACAATACCATCTCCTACAATGCATGTGCTGCTCAGATGTTCTTTTTTGCAGTATTTGCAACTGTGGAAAATTTCCTTTTGGCCTCCATGGCCTATGATCGTTATGCAGCAGTGTGCAAACCCCTACATTACACCGCCACCATGACAGTAAATGTGAGTGCTTGTCTGGCCATAAGTTCCTACACCTTTGGCTTCATAAGTGCTTCCATTCACACTTGGGGTGCCTTCAGCTTGTCTTTCTGCATGTCCAATGTAGTCCATCATTTTTTCTGTGATGTTCCAGCAGTCATGGTTCTCTCTTGTTCTGATCGACGTGTTAATGAGTTGGTTCTTATTTTTGTGGCGACCTTTAATATATTTTTTGCTCTTCTCGTTATCTTGGTTTCTTACCTATTCATACTCGCCACTATCCTAAAAGTGCGCTCAGCAGAAGGTTATCGGAAGGCTTTATCCACCTGTGCTTCTCACTTCATTGCAGTCTCCATCTTCTATGGGACAGCCATCTTCATGTACCTACAACCCAGCTCCAATCATTCCATGGACACAGATAAAATGGCATCTGTGTTCTACACGACGGTCATCCCCATGCTGAATCCCCTTGTTTATAGCTTGAGGAACAAGGAGGTCAAGAATGCGTTCAAAAAGGTTGTTGAAAAGGTGAAATTGCCTGCTGGCTTAAGATCTTAATATTGTGGGATGCACAGCAATCAAGCTTCAATCTTTTCTGATCTTTTCTGTGCAGTGGTTTCCATTTAAAAACTCATACTTCACTTAATTCCTAAGGTGGTATTCTTATTTCCTGAAAAGCCTGCCTCTCTAGAACAAAAGAAAGCATCAGACTCTGAAGTGTAAGACCTAAATGAGACTGGCTCAATAGACACTTAAGAATTTTCAGGTTTTGATTTCCCAAAACCCTTTTAATAGCTTTATTTATTCACATGTTGTCTACATATGCTAATGTAAACCTATATGTCAATCCAGGCACATACAAATCCATAAAAAAGGCATATTCTGGACCCTATGTGTACACATATGCACAGTTTTGGAAATTTGTTAAATAAGGCTAATGAAATGGCTAGATTTTAATAAAAGAGTAACAAATATATGTATCAGAATACAAATGAAAATCTATACTTTTTTTTTTGGTTGGCTGGTCAAAATAATTGTCTTAGGCCAAAATGAAAAAGGTATGAATTGTCAAATGAAAGTATTTGCTTTCTGTTACCCAATTTTATTTAGAACTACTTAAGTATAGTGTTTTAAAGGAACTAATTTTCGGTCTTCATAAAATTATTGACAAACACACTATGGTTATGTGAAAATTTTCCAAAAGAAGATGATAGATTACTAAACCAAGAGATAAAAATAATAGTTTTTTTCTCAATTTATCTATATAAGTCCACCACCTCTGCCCCTTTTGTTTAGTTTTTATTTTACTGCTGAGACTAGTGATTATGAAACATAATATTAACCATTTTTCTTACTGGAAATGATACTAAGTGACTAATCACTAATTCATCAATACCTTAGTTCTGGTTGATCTATGGCATCTCTCATCATTCTCCTGCTTATTTAGCTCTCTACACTCATACTGATTTCCTTATTATTCCTAAACAAGCCTTTGGCATGCCGCTTGTCTTATGGCTCTCAATTTACTATTCCTGCTGTTTGAAATTACTCTCTTCCTTCAAGTCTCTCCTCACAAGTAACCATATTTTAGTCACCTCACCTCATATAAGATATCATCCCCTTTCCAATTGATTCCTTATACAGTGAACCCTCGTTTATCGCGGTTAATCGGTTCTAGACTCTACTGTGATAAATGAAATTCCGTGAAGTAGGATTCCTTATTTGTAAATCAAATATTTTTGTAGTTAGAGCATAGAGGACATGAAAAAAAACCCTTTAGTCACCATTACACTCGTATTACCCAATTTATTAAATGAAAAAGGGAAAATACAGTAAAACATTTTGGACGTTACAATTATCATTTATTATTTATTATATTATTCATGGCATCAAGCGTGTACAGTATGAGCCCATCAGTGGCAGGGATGACAGAGCATGCGCTGTTACGCAAAAACCGCGATAGAGTGAAGCCGCGGAAGTCGAAGCGCGAAGTGGCGAGGGTTCACTGTAGTCCTGATGATTACTAAACTATTATTATTTTACTCTTTGTTCACCTGTAGTCTATCTTACAGGTCCCCAAACTAATTTGGCCTACCAATCCTGCTTCAGAAAAAACAAAACAAAAAACTCCTCAGTGGTACCATGGTTATAAAAGGGTTTTTTTGCTAAAGATCAAGATGCAGGATAAAGCATAGATATCAGCACTTGGATTCCCCTGGCTCACCTCTGAACTCCTCAGGGGACTATATCATCCACTTTGGGACACACCTGTCTAATCCTCTCCACAAGATCAAGGGCTTTGCCTGCTTTATTAATAATTTTTTCCCTAATAATTGATTAGAGTCAGTACATGCTGCCTCGAATGTTTACACTTCCTTTGGCAAATTTATTCTAAAGCATTTGATGTTATTTTAAATAGAATTGTTTATTTCCTTTTGGATTATTCATTGTTAGTGGATGAAATCAAAAGGAGTTTCTCACATATTAATCTGATACATTAAAATCATGATGAATGGTATATGTGTTCTTATATATTTTTAGTGGATTCCCTATGATTTTCTCTATACCTAAGACCACAAGTCACAAATTGAAATAAATACTTCTGCCTTTTGTTTTGTTGACAAATGTCCCTGGCTACAACAATTTGTAAAATATTAATTAGGTTCAATAATAATTAACATCTTTATTTTATTCATATTGCTAGTGTGAAGGTACTTTGTCTTTCACCATCCAGTGTGGTATTAGATGCAAATTTTTATTTTTTATTGTGGTTAACTTTTATAGTTTTCTATTCAACAATTTATACTCATAGTGCTTTCTGACATTAGTTACATTTTTAGCACTTTCTTGTTTCCATTATTAGTCTTTCTTTCCTGCCCTTTGCCGCTTCTGAAATTTGGCTTTGAGCAAACACTGCCTTTCTGATTTATTTAGTGGCATAATATATTATTCACCAGTGTTATTGTTCACTTTATAAACCTATTTATTATTTAGCTGAAAGGTGATTCCCTGAGAGTGGGTTCAGCCCCAGGCAAAAGGTATCCAAGGTTCACAACCTCCAGGGTTCCACCAGTCTCTATCAGACTAGTAAATCTGCTCATTATAATTGCTATTTTGAATTCTGTTCTATATTTTTCTCCCATTCTGCCCAAGACCTTCTGTTGTATTTTGATCAAATCAGCCAGTGGGTTGATAGTCAGGGACCATTTCGTGTTTCTGAGTAGTGGAGGCTGTGGTTTCTGACGAGGACAGAACCAGGGCTTCTTCCCTGCCTGCTGAGAGAATGAAGAAAGGACCCCGTAAAATGAATTATGAACAGAGGACTCTGTGAGAACTGACTTGGCAGACACCTTAACCTTGAAGCCAGGCCCTAGTGAAAAATCTGGGTGCAGGACTGTACTCTGAGATAACCCTGAAACGTTCTGACACATGCTGACCCAGAGCAGCAGTCCAGATAAAAGAGGGAAAAAAAGATTCATAAGAGACTCAAGGATAAACTGAGTAACTAATTAGACCGTTGCAGAGGGCAGCCCCATTCCATTTGAAAGTGAGATGTAAAAACTAGAAGGGTTCCCCTAGACAACCGTCCTTCTCACCTCTCCAGGGGGACTGGCTTCGCCTCAGAGTGAAGTGTATTGTATCTGTGCTTAAGGTGGTCCTTCCCAATTTCCCAGAGGGACCCACTTCATTTCTTTTGAAGTGACTCTATGCTTTCATTAAATGGTGGCTTAACTCTTCACTGTTGTGTTAGTGAGAGGTGGGGAGGGAAGCGGCTGGGGGGTGGCCTATCTCTGGACCCTAGCAAACCACATCCATTTGGAGCTGGCTAGTTCTCCTGTTGGCGACAAACCAGGAACTGAACTTCACCGTTTCCATGGTCCATTAGTCATTTGGTCTAATTGTTTCTTGACTCTTTGATTTTCTTCACACTTGCTCCAAAAGGAGAGAGACCAACAGTTGCATCTTGGATGACTGCTTGCAAGTTTTTTAAATGTTTTATTGTGAATTGGCTGAAGGTTGACAGAGATCATCAGTTTTACATTCATACACACTTAATTTCAACTCATCCGTTGCGATCCCTTAATGTACCATCATTTTCCTCACTTCCTCCCTGTGCTTACTGTTTTCATTCCTTCTTCTTTCCTAATCCTCTGAACTTTGTCCTTTTGATATTAAAGCGCTGACTAATCTAACAGAGTTCAGTTTGAGACCTGAAGTGTCGTATAGCCTTGCGAGTTCCAACCGTCTTTATATGACCAATAAGCCTCATCTTTTCTATGTGCACATTTTCTCCCATCCTCTTCAAGATCTTCTCATGTGATCCCCTTTAGAGAATTTGGTAGTGGTAGCCAGGCACCATCAGCTCCTGGTCTCAGGATTGTGGAGCCTGATGATTGTGAGATCCATTGTTCCGTATGTCTTTTGGATTTTAATCACTTTTCTTTCTTCCAGACAAGGATAGACCAATATGTCACCCTAAATAGTTGCTCATGAGCTTTTAAGATACTATTCACCAACTTAAGATGGAGAATACTGTCTTTGTAAACTATGTTATGCCAATTGGCTTAGATTTCCCCTGGTACTGTGCTCCTAAGCCCATCAACCCAATGACTCACTCCTTGAAAGTATTTTCTTGGGTTGTGAGGTTTTTATTATGTTTCTCCCTGTATGTGCTGCTATAAATGTTGGTGTATTTGCAGCACACATAAATTCATAAGTAGAAATATCCTCTACCAAAGCTATGTATGCTTTTGAGTTTATCCTCATTTGCCATCACACACCTATTCAGCTTGCATGACTACAAATAAACCCACTCAAAGATGACTGTGTGTTATTACTGTTATTGGAGGATTCGATATAATATATTTATCATTGTTGCTTTTTACTCTGTGTACTGCCTAGTATCTTCCTTTGCCTTGTTCATGTTATGATATGTTTCCTTTATAGTATGGAAATTAATACCTGTCTGCTCTCCAGTTGGTGATATTTTCTCCCTCCAAAAATTGAATCAAAAGTTTTGTGCACCAAAGGACATTGTCAGAAACAGTGAAAAGGTAACCCACGGAGTGGAAGAAAATATTTGCCCATGTATCTGATACATTAATCATATTGTGAATATATCAAGAATTATCACAACTAGGCATTAAAAAGAAACTCAATTTAAAACTGGCAAATTATTTGGATAGACATTGCAAATGTCCAATAAGCACAGGAAAGGCTGCTAAAAACTATTAGTCATTTTATAAAAAGCTTTTGAGTAAATTCCAACTCGTAGCCATTGTATACAACAGAGTAGAACAAGATTATATTGTTTACAAGATTGTGCTATCTAAAAAAGCTAACCACCCACCCAACCCCCTTCTGCCATGAAATGGCAAGTGGGCTTGAACCACCAATCTCTCATTTAGCAGTTGAGTACTTAACTAATGGTCACCCAAAATAAAGTCAAACTCACTGCCATCGAGCCAATGCCAAGTCATAGTGATCATATAGGACAGGGTAGAACTGGCTGGCCCTGTGAGCATCTGAGATCTTTTACTGAACCTTTTACTGAAATA